TAGGAGGTTTTTAGAAACAGGTTGGACAAACACCTGTCAGGGATGGTCTAGGTGTCCTTGGTGCTGCCACTGTGCAGGGGGCTGGACTTGATGACTTCTCAAGGTCCCTGGAAGCCCTATGTTTGTATGATTCTATATGCTTTAATGGAGCTTCTAGGACAAATTCTATGGCCTTGTACATGTGAGGGGTCCGGCTGGCTGGTTGTGGTGGTCCCTTCTGGCTTTGGAGTATCTAAATCAGTGAATACACCTGTTTGTTCCCTTCTTTCACGGGCCATGGAGAAAAGAGGTAGCTCAGCATTGCCCTCAACCTGTTCATAACAGTTGCAGCTCTGTATTAAGATAATGACTACAATCAAAGCCTCATCCTTCATGGCATTCATTGGTCACCTGTAGTGGTCAGGAAGGATTTTTTCCCCCCCGTGCACAGTTTGCCAGGTGTATTCTAGGGTTTGATTTTTTTGTCTTCCTCTGAAGCATAAAGGACAATGGAGAACATTTTGATCTTCTGTTAAGTTTTCTCTGCATCATATTGTGGTACTATCTTTAGCAACTCCACTTTCTTTTAAGTCCCATGTATGATCAGTTGTGATTAGCAACAGATCTCAGGCATTTGTATATACTTATTTCCTTTTTTTCTCTTTATCCTTTTGTTTCCATTTTCTCACTCTATATCTTTTTAGATATTGTATACTGTATATCCCTTTCATAAGTAATTTAAATATAACTTAAACCAGATGAGTGAGAGTTTGGAAAAATAACTACATTCTTGACATCACTTCATTGTTCCGTGGATTAAAACTAAGAGCGAGGGCTTACTTTTCTCATTCCGAGCTTTAAATGATTCTTGTTAGTTTTGGAAACTCAGTTAGCTAGTATTTAAAGACAGCATGAAGATGTATTGGTGAATATTTCTGTTAACTTATGCAGTAAGAGTTGCTGCAGGTACAGTAATTGATTGGTGGATGTGGAGGTATTAAATCAATTTGTCCAGAATAGGTAAGGGACATTAATTTTAAAAGTACAATATGGAAGAAAAATAAGGAACATAAAGAGAATAAAAAAGCCTGAAATAATGTGAATTAATACTTTCACATGAATAACTTTAGATAAAGTTTTATGACTGATCATTGCTGATGATTTATAGAAATTAAAAATGGGAACGAAATTTGGGTCCATAATGAGGGATAATGATGAGCTGTGTTCCCAACACTCCCCCTTGAATATATTATTTTACTTCTTAAAGGTAAGAGGTATTTCTCTGAAGTGGTCTTTGTATTAAAAAAACAAAAAGGATGGTAGTTTTTTAAAAAAAATCCCAAACCATGCTGTAAATAAAATGTAAAAAACCCTATTTTTCACCTGACCTTTGATTCATTCTTCAATACACCACCATTGTAGTTGTAACCTCACAGTTTGGTACAGGCTGGGGCATCACAATGGGATGGGGGAATTGTTTTTGTACTAAATGCTCCTCTGCCTCTTGTTTGAGTCATTCAACTCATAATGCTGCACTTATTTCATTTTTTGACAAATTTTTGCAGGATTATGGGCACCAGCAATCAAATTATGCTGATACACCTTTGGGATCCACCAGTTACGAACTGATGAGATTCTTGTACTTTAAAGACTGTTAATTTTATTAAATGCCAGCAATGAAGGTTAGACTTTGATTCCATAAGTGCTTTTCCATCCTGTTTTATCTCATTTCATTGATAGTTGATTAAGTTGTAAAAGCTCCTGTGATTTTTCTGTCTCAGAAATCTTTGCTCTCTGCAGTGCCAAAGAATCTGTAGGGCTGTGTCTAGGCTAAATTGACCACAAGCAGCTAACACATTTTAAAGTGACACTGTTTGTGTCTATATTTGCATCTCAGATAGTGTAACTTGACAAATATTTTTAAAGTAATCCCACTTCTTGCATGCACCCTTGCTGTCATTCACTCTCAATAGGACTGTCTTAGAACCAATAAATCCATTGAAATTGAGTGAAAATTATAGCTTTGTCTTTAATCTATCCAGTGTATTTGAGTATTGAGTAGTCTCTCTGCTACTAAGGGACATCTCATTAAGGAGAGATGGAGATCCTAGCATGGGGGAGGAGGGGGGGGGGATCTGTGATCATGTCTGTGATCACGATATGGTAATTACCCTTGAGCATATGAAAATACTTGAGGATCATATCCTAAAATGGGGATAGAGCAAGATGGCCTTGCTGGCTGATACACTTCTTCTGACTGGGGACCCATGATTAAGTGGTTCCTGGTGAAAGGCTGACTTTGGGTCTTTGGTTAACCTAACCAAAAAATGGCACCAAAAAGCTTGAGGTGAGACAGCTTGAGAGTGGAGGAATGCCGAGGAGAGGTTGTGGGGGAGAGTTGTTTGTTTCCCTTCGGAGCTGAAGTACTATCACAACTAATATTCTAGTACAGTCTCTAATTCCTGGTCAGTTGCAAAAAAGTACAACCCAGATGTAGCTGGTACTGATGAAACTTGTCTGGGTACAGTTCTTAATCCTGTTAAGGGCATGAAGATAGAAAATGAATAAATTCCTCATCAAGTTGTTAAAGTGGGGTAGGGGAAATAAATAATGTACATTACACTTATTTTAAATTTATCTGAGAAAGGTCACTAATTATAAACTGAGCTTGAAAATTTTAAAGCCCTTTCAGGTGTGCTAATAAAAGATAATGTCTCACATTCCTGCAAAATTGAGGTCTTTAAAGAACATGAGTAAAAATACTGATTTGCATGTTTGGGGGTTAATTGAAAGGCAAACGGAGAGTCTCCACTAGAAAACCTTGCTGCTGGTTTTAAAATTACATTGGATGTGAAATTTATGCCTTAAAGTATTGTAACATTTTTCCATATTCCTCAGAAACACCAAAGAAACGGGTTAAGTTCCTTACCTCTGATGTTAATGAAGACTGTATTTTTCCTCTGACTTTGATAGGATTTTTCCTACAGCAAATGAGAAGGAAAGAGTTCAGTGTTTTGGGTACAGAATAAGTGGGATTCTTTAGCAAACTACAGTTAAGAGGTTGCATGACTTCCCAGATTTTGCACACACCATTTAAACTCAGAGAAAAAGACTGACGATCAAATTGGTATTTTTTTTTAAATATATGTATTTTTTGGCATCTTGGGACTAGACATAGTTGTTTAATTTCCTTCCAAAAATTGAATCTTCAAAGGTCAGAAATTTTGCTATGATAGTTAATTTTGACTAAACAGTACAGGGAACAAACTATGGAATTCATAATCCATGAGTCATTCACATCAGAAACCCCAAAGTTCTCATACCCAATCAGGAAACTGAATCCTAGTGCATGGCCTATGTGTTCCATCCAAACAGTTCAAATTTTGAATGTTGAGTACTCGCAACCAATGTCTTATGTCAATCTGCAGACCAATAACTACTTTGCGATTTTCAAATAAAATTTGAATCTCTCCATACAGTTCATGAACAGGGGGAAGAAAAGCAGTGAAATTGATCAAGTAAATTATTCACTATGAAGTATTTACTCAGCTCTTTTCATTATCATGCAAATTGTAATGGCTTGTTTACAAGCTGCCTACTTGTTAGGTAGTTTAAGTAAAGAACACTCATACACATCCCTTGGTCCAAAATAGTTTGAGCTTGTTGACCTTCAGGTCATGTTGCAAGGCTGTTTATTTATGTCGGCTTGTAGGGAGACAGGAGCTTGATGGGGGTGGTTGTTTATGGGGCTAGGTAGTTAAGGGATGGTATCTGTTGGCTTTCTTATATCTGCTCTGGCAAACTTGATAGAAGATGTTAAAGTGTTGATAGTGAGCTTTCACTTCTTTTTGTGAGCTTTCATTTCTTTTTTTCCTTTTTTTTTTTTAATGATAGTGCCTAGGGAGCAACTGAGATTGGGGCCCCCTTGTGTTAGGCACTATCCACAAATGAAGTAATAGTCCCTGGCCAAAGAGCTTAGAATCTAAATGGACAACACTAACAATGGGTGAGGGTGAAGAGGTACAACCTATAAGCAGAGTTAAACAGACTGATTGATGATTTGCAAATGTCATGTTAGATCCTTGACTATTTGTGATTTGTTTTTGTATTTATTTATTTTTGCTGTAGTAAGTCTCTAGCCTTTTTACTAGCAGAGATTGATGTTAGCATCTAACCTGATCACTAAGAGGGCTATTCAATGGAAAAACAACTTTTTTCCCCCTCTGAAAGGCTTGTGAAGGGAAGTTGGGCTGGAAGTGTCCCCCAACAATCTTTGTAAGTCTCTCAGAGGCTAGAGATTGGCGGCTGTTGAATGAAGAGTTTACCAAAACTTGGCAGTTGTCAGGGGAAATCAAGAGCAAGGGAAGGAGTCTTCTCTCACTGACAATCCCTACATAGAGCTTGGGGATTTTCCCTTCCTGATTTAGTGACCACCAAGCCTCTTGTCAGCCATGTTTCTCCCCACTGTTGTTTTTTTTAAGTCATGCTTACTGTGTTTTATTCAAGGATCTGTGCAGGACTGAGCCCTGAGAAGGGGTTACTGACAGCGGCTTGTTCTCTGCATGACACAGTCGCACTTCTGTGGCCTGGAGTGTGTGGCTTGTATTTTCCGATTGCAAGTTTTATACCATTTCTGAACTGCCTTTAAGTGAAAATCTAGCTTACTTTCATTTAGAAATGTCCATTCTGGGTTGTAATCAATACTTGTTGGAGACCAATCCCACAAATGCTGTCCCCCTGTATATGGAACAAGTTGGTCATGATAAAGGAAATTCCTAAATGGTTGTCCAAGTATTGAGATGTGTCCAAGTACTGGGATGTGTGTGTAAAATAAATAATCGCTGACATTGGTGAAGAGGGGATGTTGAGCACAGTTAGAGCTGCTTCTGGAAATACTGTCAACCACACTTAGCTTAGCATTACAGTAAATGTTGTGCACCTCTTGAATAAAATATCAGCTTCCTATTAAAGCAGAATTGCTTTAATATTAGTGTTTTGTTTTAATCTTCTTTCTCTTCCAGTTTGAACGGCATGACTCTGTGAATGGGCGGATCACCGAGCGTCAGTTTGGTGGCATGCTGCTGGCCTATAGTGGAGTGCAGTCAAAGAAGCTCACTCTCATGCTGAAGCAACTCAGGAAACATTTTCAAGAAGGAGAGGTTAGTGGCTTTCAGGTGGAAAAAAGAGAAATTTTAAGACTTTCTGATGCGTGCATCCATAGTGCTTTGCACTGTGAAATGAAGTCTAAAATGTGAATAAACTTGTAGAATGAATCATTTCAGTGCTGATACATATTTCCATTGACTTTTACTTGTCCAAAATATATCTCAGTAGTTAAATAATGCTTGATAGCTGAATACATCACAGGCTGGAGTAAAAAAAAAAACGGCCATTTCATATTTTGCTCTGAAATTATAGATCTAAGCAATGGGCTGGCACAGCCTGGGCTTACCATAAAATGAATATGCTACGACTCCTGAAGAAAAGCACCTGACCCTCTAAAACCTATTGAGGCCCTAAGAGCTACATTGACTTCAGATCAACAAATCACCAGCAGTACGGAGTCAAAGAATGCATAGGTCTAGTGATCAAGATCTGGCTGTGTGTATAATGAAAGGCTGCTTTACACATTTTAAAATGAGTGCATTGCAATAGTGGGGGTAGAAACATTAATTTAAAAAAACCACGCTTTCTGGAGAAAGCCCCCACATGTTTAACCTGAACAAACACTGAAGACTTATATCCAACAGTTGACTTGACCTTGGATTAATTGTGCAGTATGATTGGGTAGTTTATCATTTTATTATGATTTTATGAGAAAAATATGGGAATTAGACTCAAAATTTGTAGGGGGAAAAGGTTGCAGTCCCTGCAGTAGTTAATTCAGGGAAGGAGACGGAATAAAACACCTAAACTGAAAGGACATCTTTAATCTGATGATGAAAGTATGGAGTGTTAAATTACAGTAGTGTTAGAATTTCATGTCTGCTTCTATAGAGATTGATGGAGCTCCTTTTTTATTAATTAGTTTGTGAACATAGCAATTAACCAAAACGGGAACTAATGAAAGACTTCTGCTTCTGTGGTTAGTAGGCCTGACTGTTGTAGAACTACTTCCTCTTAGCGTCAGAACTGCCATTTATTTCTTAATTTCGTTAATCCATTTTGTGATGCAAAATATTAAGAAATACTGGACCAGATTCTGACCAACCTTAAGATCCCTTTATGCTGCTCCTTAAAGCTGCTCTAAAAGGATTCCACCGGTATGAAGGAATCCTCAGTTGGCATAAATCCAGCATGGCCAACCCTACATCAGTGCCTCGTGCACCCAGCATAGGGGATGTGTTGGAAGAACTAGGGTATTTTGAGGAGCCAAAGCACAGTTTATTCAAGCAGTTCTTTCTGGTGTAATGGCCCTTAGGTGGCATTCAAGGCCAATGAAAACTAAAGCAACCACTGGGTTCCTCTAACTTGCTTCAGGGGCCGGTTTGGCCCCTGTTCTGGTGCAGCTGACAATTTACGCCATTATGTTTTATATTGTTAGTGCTAACTTCTACATCTGTCATGTTTTGGATATTATGAAAGAAGCAACCTGATTATTACTGTATGCATATCAGGGTTAATTTGTCAGTTTGCTTTCCTTTAAATTGTATATTAATCAAAGGTTAAAAAATAAACACGGAAATCTCCTTAATGAGTCAATAAATCATAATTCAAGTTGTCACAGAGCACGCCACTCACCACCAGACTGGCACCTCCTCCTGGTCATTCTGGGGATTAGCTCAAGGCTGACACTCCCATCCACAGTCTGTACACCATCATTCCTTCTCCGCAGTCCAATTGTAACCTCTCTCGCAGCGTCCGAAACTGCAACGTCCTCTTCGTGGCTCAGCCCTCTGGCCATGTCACTATCTGTGTTTTCCCCCCCTTCCGAGGGAGTTTAGCTCCTAGTCCAGCCACCTCTCCAGTGGTGACTGCAGTCAATTGTCCTACCACTTCCCCGGGGGGGGAGGGTGTTTCCCGGGCCTGCCCACTACTATCACTGCATTTCCCTGGGCCACTTCCCCATGGGCACAACACTCTCATCAGTCTCAGCAGCCCATCCAGAGCTCCTTCTCTTCTGACCAGGCTTCTGACTACACCACTCTGTCCAAGGTGCTACAGGGTTGCAACCTACTCCAGACAGTCCTCCCTCCTCAAGCTCTAGGCAGCTACTGACCCTCCTCTGCCCAGAGGCTCTTTTTTATGGACCTGCCAGGTCCTGATTGGCCGCTCCTCACAGATCCTCTCCTATTGGCTGCTTTTCATACGGCCTCCCCAGTTGTATTAACCCCTTACTAGCCAGTGTGGGGCGGACACCCCATCACACAAGTATTTTAGAACTATGCTGGTAGAGGCCAGTGAGGCCTGAAATATGTTCATGTCAGCCACATTCTCCAATGGTTTTGCAAAGCTCATACTTCCCTGATATCCCAAGTGGGGTCCTGCTCATGCCGGGTACAAACTTCCTTTGAGACTTCTCCGTGGACTGTATTTGAGTTTTCACAGAAGTTGAGTTCCACGAGCGTAACATGCAAAGCTTGGCCTATTCAAGCACCATTGATAAAATGCAGGCTTCAGTAAAGTTGCAAGCTAAATCCGGACCCTGGTTTTAGAATTGTATAAGTATAAACCCACCCTTTTTTCTCCACATTAATGAAAACTAAGAAAATTCCCAGACACACATCTTCATTGAGATGTAGCCACATTTGAGAATAAATTTCTCTTTAAAACACAAATAGAATGTATAGTTAAAAGTAAACACTAGAAGCTTGGGAAATTCTCCATGTAGAGAGCCCTGTCTACAGTAGTAGTGGCAGAGCTGCACTGGTGGTAGTGCAGTGGGGGAAGACTTCCTCAAATATGCTAGTGTAGATGTAGCCTTAAAGAGCAAACTACTGGCATCCATTTAGGGAGAATTTAAGTTGTGTGTGAGGATCTCTAGCCTTGAGGTAGAACGTGAGTAGGGATATGAGGACAGAGTTCCATTTGGAGTTGGATGTTCTGGTAACACTTTTTTTTTTAAAGGTCTGTATGTTTGTAATTTTATCTGAAAGTTTTTGGTTCAGGAATAATAACTTTATAGATACATAAAGTTTGGGTGTATGACTAGCAGAAAATACCACCTCCTAATGTCATATTTTCCAATTTGCTGTAACGTTTTCTGTAACTAGTTTTGATTATGTAGCTAACAATAGCCAAGGATGCTAAGAGATGAACTGGAGGGACCTGATTTTTTGTCAGCATCTGATTGTTTCTTCACTGGATAAAGAAAAAAAACTCTTAACCTGATAGAGAGGGACATGTTTATGTCCAGATTCTAGGGGTAACACTCCTGCCAGGCTGTTTTTATGGTTATGGTTGTTAACCAGATTCATAACCACCCTTTTTATCTCCAAGGACTTTGCGGGGTGGGGAGAAGAGGAGGAATTCAGAATTTTACACTTGCAAGAACAAAAGCGATAGATGATTTACAAGTCTAGAGACAGATGAAAAGCCAAAAAAATTTAATTACAGCAATAGCAAATAAAGGCAAATAATAAAAAGAGTTTTTTGGGGAAGAGGTAAAGGATGTGGGGGTGCCAGTTTCTCTTTCCCCTCTGGCACAGATGAAACTCTTGGCAGCTTTGTTGACTCCAGGCAGCTGGCTATACAGTGACTAATTAAGTTAGAAGGATCATCTATTACAAGCAGTTGTAGCTCACGTACATTTCTTGTCAATCCAGTCCAGTACCTTACATCAGAACATCCTCATACAAGACTGGTTGCTTTTTTAAATCTTCCCTCTGTCTCAAGTGGGAAGAGGTTTTGGAACACAGTGTCCTTTGGTGATTTGTATGTAATACCTTCAGTACCCAAAGACATTTATCTGTTTTTATTGGATTACTCTATTGCAGCTGCCTTAACATAATGTTGTTTAAATCCTTACAATTTTTTAATAAAGTGCAATGGAGCGAATCACTTACATTCCGTTTGAGCTTGCTAGCTAAGTTCATACAGGAATGCACCTGCAACATTTTCTTTTGTAAATGAGTTCAGTGTTAGCATAAAAGTTTTCTTGGACTTGAAATAACTTAAACTTAACCCTAGTGTTGCTTCCTGCTCTTCATTTGTAATTTACAACCTCTGCAGAAGTGTCTGGTTCCCAATTCTTTTATATTTGAGTCAGAAGCTAGCAGTTGTGCTGAAAAGGTGGTGTGTTTATGCTAATCACTGTTGTTCTCTTGGATCCCAGACCTTAAAAATGAGCTATCTTCTTTACAGTGATTTTTGTCACTAAACTCCCTTTCAGTCAGAGTATCTTACAATGCATTTCTTGTTTTAAATTAGTCCAATAATCTGCCCTTGTTGCTGTTAAAGGCTTTAATAGCTCAAGTTACTGAAGACATTTCAGACAGTGTTAAGAGAGATTTTACAGCTTAATTTGGATTCACCAGCTGAATGTATTCATTTTGACATTTTCGTCTTCATCATAACAGTGAAAATCTATTATTTATTTTTATAGGTACCCCATTTTTAGCTTTCTGTCTCTTGCTGGGTAGAATAGAGAGGAAACTTGAATTTAGGCTGGCATGGTGATTCATCATGTTAAGAGCCAAATTCAGAGGTGATGGGTAAGGTAATGAAATATAGAGCCTCTTACTGTCAGACCTGTGCTCATTTAGGTTCACTTAGGTTGCTTCTACACTGTTAAGTTTTTGAGACTCTCATGCTGTTGTTCTATCATTGATGCAGTTCCACTGGTGCTAGCAATAAATAATATGAGGGCTAATATAGATAGGGCTTGGTTATTTTTATCACCTCACTGTGTCCTCCAACTCTGAACAAATCTAGACACGGTGGTAAAAAGACAAGTAACTACTCTATACTAGTATTTACCTGTGTGCCAGCCCCATTGGAGCTGCCTCAATGCTAGAGCAATTGAGGGAGAATTTCCAAAATTCTCAATGTGAGTCATGCCTTAGACCTGACACAACCACTCTGTCAACATGTAGAGAATATCATCTGATTTAGTTTACATACCAAAGAGCCAGAAGAAAGTTAAAGCATGATGAGACTAGTTTCGCTTTCCTGCTCTCATGTAATTTTCGCTAACGTACACCTCCTTTGATTATATGTAAGGGAGTCTAAACGTATGTCTACACTGCAAAGAAAAACCCACGGTGCTGAGTCTCAGAGCCCAGGTCAATAGGGCCTCGGGCTGTGGAACTAAAAATAGCAGTGTGGGTGTACCTGCTCAGGCTGGAGCCTGGGATCCAAGACCTTCCCCACTTGCCAGGTTTCAGAACCCAAGTTCCAGACCAAGACTGAATGGCTGCACTGCTATTTTTAGCCCTGCAGCCTGAGTCCACAAGCCCAAACCAATTGAACTGGGCTCTGAGACTCGGCACCGTGGGTTTTTCTTTGCAGTGTCGACATACCCTAAGTGACTTGAAGTGTTAGGGGAGTTTTACTTACACCACTGAGACCTCTGAATTTGTCCTTAAGGCTCTATTTTTAGAGTGTCAACCATCTGATCTCCTTGCTGCAAGTTTGAAGACCATAAGGGGTATAAACTGATATGCTTGCAGCAAGTTCCTGGATCTTGAGAGTGCACTGGCTATGTGATCACATTGTTGGGCAAGTGGTTGATAGCAGGAAGAATGGTGGTGGTTTTTGTTTCAACTTCTCTATCACCACTGACTCTTCCACATACCGAGCCTGATTCTTATATACCCTAAGGCCCTTTTATACTATCTGGGTGGTGTAAATGAGAATCAGGCCCATAATGTTGATCAGGAACAAATAATGGCTAGGCACAGGGAGACCTACAATAGCTGTATTAAGCCTATCCCCCTCAGCTGGCATCAGCTTCATGGTAAAGAGACAATGGGACTGTAATGGGGATTACTGCAGAAAGAGAAATTTCAATTAAGGGAGGAAATAAGAATGTCAGTAGCTAATTGACTTTTCAGTTACTGCAAGTGTAAACTTTAAATTGTATATAATCCCAAATAATAACATCATAACATAAGAACGGCCATACTGGGTCACACCAAAGGTCCATCTAGCCCAGATCCTGTCTACCGACAGTGGCCAGTGCCAGATGCCCCAGAGGGAGTGAACCTAACAGGTAATGATCAGGTGATCTCTCTCCTGCCATCCATCTCATGATTTAATATAATGCACTATGGAGAGTCATACACGAATTGCCATTTGGACATACCTATCATCTTTGCTCTCGTTGGGACTTTTTCCTATCAACATTATTTCATTATTTGTCTCCTTTAACCATTAAAAAAAAAAGTGTTCCTTCTATTGCAGGGGCTGACGTTTGAGGAGGTGGAAAGCTTTTTTACTTTTCTGAAGAATATAAATGATGTGGACACAGCTTTGAGCTTTTACCACATGGCTGGAGCTTCTCTTGATAAAGGTATTAAACACTTGTGAGCTTGCTGGATTTTTTTTTCCCGGTGGTGGAATACCATTAAATCAGGATGTTCAAACTTGAAGCTGTTCAGCAAGGCTTTTCTGACGGATAAAAAGTGCACTAAAATCATATGTTTCCTCTCTTGTCATGAGAAGGTTTTAACTTGCAGCTGTTTGTGGAAAAAGAGGGATTTTGGATTTGTCCTCTGTTAGGTGTAAGGAAAAATATGCTGAAATTTACTTCCTGTTTGAATTTTTCAGGCTGTTTTAACAGATCCACAGGCTCTAAACATCATTAATTGACTAAGATAACATTCAGATCTAACGTGTGTGTTCCCTTCTACTGTATGTATTTCCTACATAGTATTCTACTTAATTTGTCTCGTGATTCAGTGCATTCAGCAAATGGTTGCTTTCAACTTTTTAGGCTTTGTTATACAAATCTTATCAATTTGTTAAATGCTACTTTTAGTGATCAGAAATCAAAGTTTGGGGTGAGTAGCTTTTTATCCTCCAGACCTGCAACAGGGATGGGCTTGGAGCCTTTGGGGGGTCACTTTGATAGGACTTTTAGCCATGATGCTGGGACTTGGGATGTTGTATCTTTTTGTATATTTTACAGCAGATAGGAAAATTATTGCTGAAAGTAGGGATGTGCAGACAGTCTCATTCCAATGGGAACAGAAGAACCAAGATCACTGTAGTATCAGTGATTCTCAACCTTTTGGCATTAAAGTCATTTCCTGCTCTTATGAAGTCCTCAGTACAGATTTAGTCAAGAGATCATCTTGCTCTTATTGGTCTGGGGCATAATGAAACATGAGAAGCAGCCCCCCTTAGCAGCCACAAGTGGAGAGAGGAAAAGAAGAAATAACGCTCCCCTGGCAATTTTTGGAAACCTTAATATCTGAACCACAAAGATCATAAGCTCTGCTGGGCAAGGACTCTGCATTGGGCTGTGAGCTGCCATGCACTCTTACAATACTTATTATTTCTTCTCCGACATCCAAGACAAGGAGGGAGCTATTGGTGAGCATTGGAAAGGGGCCCCGCAGGGTTCATCATATTGAAGGGAAGAAACTTGACCATTCAATTTCAGTTTGGGATAGATCTCTGAATTTTCATAAAATATATGTAAAAATCTAGTTTCTTCTCCCTTCCTTGACCCAATGCTGACTTTTGCCTTCTACTTCTGAATCCCTCAAAGCTGAGTCAGAGAATTAAAATAACTTCAGTGCAGATTCTCTTCAAATGCTTTTTTTTTTTAAGTCCAGATAGAACATACTTTTACTTGTGACCAAGTATAAGGCCCAGTCCTTCTTGTGTAAACTATCTATAAAAGAGGGCACACAGTGGTATAGTTCCTAATCAAATAATGTCTACCTTATATCCCACCATCATCACATGGAAAACGCCTTCCAGAATGAGCCAGCAATAGTAGATGAATAACGCAGTACTTAGCTGAGAACCATTATAACAATGTAATGTTAAACATGCATAACCATCCCCTTCTTTTTTCACCTTCCTCCGATGCTTAACTAATCCACCAAATGATCTGAAAATTTGCACTGTAAAACTGAAGTTCATTGTTTCTGTATTGCCCATAAAAAAGATGACTTTTTTTAATCTGTTACAGTTGCATACTTGTTTTGAGTCTGAATGTTTTTTCAGATTAGTAATTTTTGTAAAACTCATTGGTAAGACTGGGAACATATCACGTCACAAACTAATTTAAAGTTTTCAAATCCTATTGAAAACTCCCATTCTGTATATAAAAGCTATAGATTTTTTAATCAGCTAAAAGGTGAAACTTTTTACCAGTAAGTTATAACTTTGAGCCATTACTGTTCTGGGAGCATTAAGGTGTGAATGGGGGCTTATACTGAAAGATTTAAAAAGACTATTACATGCTCTAATTCAACTTGCATCTCTGCTCTTAGATGCTCTTGTTAACTGAGATCAGCCTTAGTTTGTAGTTGAGATTATGTATTTTAGGTGTTTTAAGTCAAATGGGACCCAACAGGTGGAAACATCTTCTTGGAATTAAAAAAATAAAGAGAATGAGCATAGTGAAAGATCTTTTAACTGGAACATTGTGTGTAAAATAGCAGTGTGCAGTTACTGAAATACAGACTAACTTCAAGTAAAACTTTTAGTTACCCACCAATCTACTCTGATCTGATAATGGTCCAGAGAAATCCTATATTTTGACAGTGCCGCATCTAGGACTCTGCTTAGGGTAAACCACAAACATTTGTGTCTTGGAACTAATATTTGTGGAGTGTCTAGATTAGCACAAATTTTAGCCAACTCAAGTTAACTGACAGTTCACATGACTTGCAGTAGGGTCACAAACTGTAGTATAGGTATAGCTCGATAGAGGTTAGAAACCAGTTAGAGAGTTGATTCTGCAACATACCTCCTGGAAATCCCCTGGCTGGAAAGTAGCATGCCCCATACTCGCCTGGTCTACACTTAGAAGTTTTGCTGGCATAGCTATGTTGGCTAGGAGTGAGAAAGAATCACACCCTTGACAGACACGGCTATGCTGGCAAAAGCTCCAGTGTAGACGGTTATATTGACACAAAATTCCTTTTGCCAGTATAGCTAATATCATTCTGAGAACTGGTATAAGCTATACAGGCCAAAGAACTCTGTTTCTGCTGCACCGTGATACAGCAAACTGGAAATTCTGCCACAGGTTCAGGTAGATTAAAATCTGGAGGACTGTGGTAGATTAAATATGAATATGACTAAAGCAATCATTGCAATCATTGCAGTGTTGTTTATGTTGGTATTAACCTACAAATGTTTATGCTACCCCCAAATATTTAGAGTAGCAGAGGTTTTTATATTAATAGTTAATGTAGACCTTTGGGGAAAGCTGGACATTTTGGCAGCTGGATAGAATATTGTTGAAGTTTGATCCAGAAAGGTATGTAGAGAGGTTGGAGCGGGGGAAGTGGAGAGGATGTTGGCACTCAGAAGTTGGATGAGGCTTTGGCAATGAAAAGGGAATTCATCTTTCCTTCTTTGCACTCAGGATTGCAGGTGGCCTGAAATTTGAGAGAGTTAGTAGTGGATAGTGTGTTAATGAGGTATTTATGCTCCAATGATCTGCACATTACATGGTTCCTAGCATATAAATGTGTTCTCCTAGCCAGAGCATCAAGTCCACACAGAGTAAATGATACACTTGTTCCACCTTTTCTAGTAGCTGAATTCTCATAAAGATGCTTATATCTCTGTTAATATACCACAGAAAAGTCACTCATCTGACTGCCAAATGAATGGGATTATTTTGACTATTAAAATTAAAATGTTAAAAGTGACCATAATCCTTATATGCTAAATAAATTGTTCCTATTCTACTGCAGCAGACTGACCCATTTTTATGATTCTAGAAGTCTTATAAACTGAAAGGGGAAAAAATTAGTAGCATAAAATAGACACAGCAGGTTCCTGCTTCACTGACGTTTTTCACCCTTAATTTAAGCTAGACCCTGGTTTTAAAAAGAATGGTAGGATACCTATTTTAATGAACCATGGAATAATGCATGAATTTATTCAGTCAAGCTTGTATTTTCTAGAAATAACTGTTATGCTGCCAAAATTCAATGGCAACAAATTCTTAAATCACAAATAAGCAAAAATCACATATAGAAATTGTACCTAACAAATGAGCTCAGGAGTGGAGCAGGGTCTGGGTTGGAAGCCTCACAGGAGAAGTCTATATTGCGTTTTAAAATCCACAGTAGAGCATATCAAACCCCAGGTCAGAGACTTGGGCTCATGCCCTGGCACTAAAAATAACAGTGTAGATATTGTGGCTCAGGTTGGAGTTCAGGCTCTAAAGGCCACTCCCCTTCCCAGTGACAGTTCAAGTCCTACCTTGAGCGGAAGTCTGGAAAAGGCTGAGAGGCATATTGCTAAAATCTATTTAGCGGTTGGGGGGAGGGTTTGGAGGAATGTAAACAAACTTTTTTTTGTTTTTAAAAGGGACGTGAATTCTTGCTGATACGAAGGGGCATTTTACGGGGAGGAATGGGGAGAATAGAGGTGAGCGATTTCGGAATGAATCAAGGCGAGGGGGAATTATGGGGAGAGGGGGATAAATGGGGATGGGTGGTAGTGACAGTGAGAAGGGAGGGACATTGGAAAGGGGACATGTAGGTAAGTGGCAGGGGGACTGGGGAAGAACGGGGCAGAGGGGTTGCCTGTCAGTCCCACATTCTCCCCCTTCTTAGTGTGTGCCAGGATATGGGAGGTCAGAGACCTATTATGACAATTGGTCTGTAACTTTTGCTTGCTTAAGAATTTACCATGGAAAGTAGGTCAAGTTATTTTCAATAAAGAATGTTATAAACAGGTGCAAGAGAACCAGACAGTGAGACTAAATTAGTGGAAACATAACATAACACCATATAATTCAAGTACTATGCTGAAATGGTGCTTAATAAAAACAGAAGACGTGAACTGGAAATTAATGAACCAAAATTGGTTTGTGTGTCAGATATTAGACCACCTCTACCCCGATATAACATGAATTCGGATATAACGCGGTAAAGCAGCGCTCTGCGGGGGGCAGGGCTGTGCGCTCCGGAGGATCAAAGCAAGTTCGATATAACGCAGTAAGATTTTTTAGCTCCCGAGGACAGCGTTATATCGGGGTAGAGGTGTAATCAGATAATGAGTGGACGAGCTATTTCACCCATCATTCCCTTTTTGGATCCTTAAAAAATGAACTGATGGAGAGAAAGAAGAACAGAGAGGAGACGGAGGCTGAAGCAAAATTCACCATTGTGGCTGCCACCTCCACTATCTTCTGGGACCCCAGACCTTCTTCGTTCTAATCCTAAAAGATGCCTGACCAGACCAGGCCAGAGAGAGGGACCCTGATAACATGGCCACCTCTACTGGCTCCATCTGAATCCCAAACAGCACCTGGGATGAAATGGGATTGGATTTTAGCAGCAGCAACAGCTCTAGCTCATCTCAACTTCT